CTTTAAAAAGACGTTCCACCCGTGAAGCTCTTTTAGTATGGAAATTGCTCTTTTAATGTGCTGAAGCGCACAGGGGAGATGGCCGTCTGCAACACACACAGGGGTAGTGCAGCCTGCTGTGTGCAACCCACTCGACACGGGAAAACCACCACCGATGAAGCGCCGTCCACCAGCACGAGAGCCCACCGAAGAGTGTGCTTGACTGTAGTTTATCACTACTGCAGAGGTCAGGAGCAGAACGATAGAACCGCTCGGCTCCGAAGCGAAAAGCTGAATATGCGCTGCACCTGCTGCCTACTTATACTCACGCTGTGATCAGCAGCAGCTGGATGCAATAATTGCATGCCAATGTGCATTGGCTCGTTTAGTTTACACTCAAAGTAAATTGGTCCCTCTAAGCGAGATCCCAATTTTGTCGGTCCTCCGACGTGACGTCGAGAGTGACCGACTGAAAGGGAACTACACCAATCAAATCTGACAGCACATTGTGAATTTCATGGCATAAAATACCAAACCAAATACTAGATCTTGATCGTTTGCCAATGTCAAGTTCAAGTTCAAGTTCAAGTCTGCTTTATTGTCAATTCTTCCACATGTACAGGACATACACACAGAGAATTGACTACAGTTTAGACTACAGTTTAAAAGTTTGAGGTCAGCAAGATTTTTTTTTCCACATTCAATTGATAAAAAGTTACAGCAGAGACATTTATCATGTTAAAAAAAGATTTCTATTTCAAATAAATGATGTTCTTTTTACTTTGTTCATCATAGAATCCCAAAACATTTATTGTAGTTTCCACAAAAATATTAAGCAGCCAGCTGTGATAATAATGAAAAATGAGCTTCAAATCAGCATATTACATTTATTTCTGAAGGATTTCTGAAGTAATGATGTTGAAAAATCAGCTTTGATCACAGGAATAAATTACATATTACAGTATGCTCATTTAGTAACAGTTACTTTAAACTGCAATAATATTTCACAATATTACTGTTGTTGTTTTTTAAATAAATCAAATAAATGCAGACTTGGTGAGCATGAGAGATTTCTTTCAAAAATATTTAACAAATCTTGCCAATTTTTTTAAATGGCAGTGTATTTTCCTAAATAGCGCTGCAGAAAGGCACCTCATCAACATGCTGCTGCTGAAGAGGCCGATTTACAAGCAAGTGCAAGTCTTTAGCCGGTCAAATATACAAGTGTCTCTCCAGGCACGGCTGAGATTGTCTTTATTGAGTAGCTGAGCTGTAGGAGGACACGATCACCATTAGCAGCATGTTTACACTCCTCTGCTCTCTGCAGCATTAACCCTGTAAAGAGCTCCAGCTGAGAGGGAAAACGTTCCGGACACACCAGCTGAGAGAAGAGATACGGCTGCCCGCCATCTATCTGCCAGGATAGTGTTTGAATTCCCAGAGGCTAATTACCGGATTCCAAATCAATCCTGCTTTTTAAAGACATCTGCCACAGAAGCCTTCAGAACACAAGTGAGAATCTACTGGCTTGCTTTTGCGCTATAATCATCTGGCAAGCTTCACGCAAGAGATTATTTTTGCATTTTTGGAAAAAGACCACATGCTCCAGTTGCAGTTTTCTTAAGCCCTATTTTGATTGGACTAGTTTTCCCTGAGGAGGTTTCACAGACATACGTGATTGTAATCCAGTTTAAATATGATTCATGATGCATCAATACAAAGATCCCAATCCAATCTGAATCAACAAATGACAAGACGTCATATTTTAACAACTGTAACTCAAACGTTGTTTAGCAAAGTAATCTCGTCCGAATAGTGCTTTAGGCCATCTCCACACGTACACGGGTATTTTTATAAACAGAGATTTTCCTTCTTCCGTTTTAAAAAAAATCTCCGCCCACATGAAAATGCAAACACATGCTATGAAGCACTGTCAAGAGCATGCCAAACCAACAGGTGGTGATATAATCTCAACCGTAAAGCCATGTTGGCCAATCAGAAGCCTGAAAAAGTTTCCAGTAGGTGGAGATAACAGCACAGGCTCCAAGGCTTTGGCTGTCTACACAATAACACTGCAACCGGATTTTTTGAAAATCTTCACCTGGCTGGCGTTTTCAAAAATTTCAGCGAACCGGTACTGTGTTTGCGTGTGGATGAACAGCCTAACCGTGTAAAAAAAGCTGCAGTTTTAAAAATAACCGCGTTCGTGTGGACAGGGCCTTAATGCACGGTAAAAAAAAAAAAAAAAGGCAGTAAAATTTACTGTAAAAAATAGCAGCGGCATGAAAAATACAGCAGTGACATTTTATGTTTTCCGGACTGAAATTTACAGTAAAAAAATAAATAATGATTAAAAAAAAAAAATTTTAATAAGTAAATAAAATAGGATTATAATAAATAAATAGGATTAAATTAAATAAAAATTTGTTTAAATGAAATAAATAAAAATAGGATTAAAATAAAGAATAAAATAAAATAAATAAAATTGATGGTACTAACATACTAATGCACATAACTGAAAAACTAAGAAGAAACAATTATTTAAATGAAAAACAATCAAATGTGAAGCGCCCATTCTGGATATGTCAATTTACATTCTTTACATTACAAAAATGTAATTTACAATTTACAATTACAATTACATTTACAATTACATTTTTTCAATGTTAACTATAAAATGACATAAAATGTAAAATACTGGTAAATGCAGTTTTTTTTTATCTTAAAATGACATTAATGATCCCGTTAGATCTATTACAGTTTTTACAGTAAGGGAGCCAACTGGTTTTTACTGTAGCATTTTACAGTTTTTAACTGTTCAAATGAGAAAAATAATTGTATTTACAGTGTAAACCTGACATGTGCAAAAGCCAGCTGTGTTTAATACCTTCACTGTTGACGCAGCGGACCTGTGGAGTCTGTGTTCCCTCTCCACAGTCCATGTCTTCCTCTGGGATACACTCCTCTAGCTTGACCAGCTGCCAGCTAAAACAGCTGGGATCATCACACGGGATGGCCTCCACCAGATGAGGACAGTTCCCCTCGCCACCCGTGGGGTAATTAATGATCGTACGTCGTCTGAACTTGAAACCTGCAAATAAACATGACACAAAAGGTCTATTAGTTGTCTCTATAACACCTTCTGTAAGTCACAGTTAAAAATGCCACTGGATTAGGACAAAATATCAGTGACATCACTTTTGTCATTTTTAATGACATTTTACCCAATTACTTTAAACCAACTTGTCTTGAGGTGATTTTTGGTGGATGTGTGACCTTTCGTTGAATTGATTTTTTTTTTAGAGTGGATTTTACACAACTCTCAAGAACATGTCCAATTCACATTCCGTCCAAAAGGAATGCAAAGAAATGGTTTTCATTAAAAGTAAATAAATAAACAAACACAACCTATTTTTAGGACCTTTTATGACTTCATTTCATTACAATTAAGCAATTATAAAGCAATAAATGAAATTGTTTTTCATATAAAAAAATCAAACCTATTTTTAGGATTTTTTTTGTACATTCTGACTTTTTTTTATTACAATTAGGCAATTGTAAAGCAATAAAATAAATAATTTTTCATTAAAAAATGCAATCTAATTTTAGGACCTTTTTGTACATTCTGACTTTATATTACAATTAAGCAAATGTAAAGCAATAAAAATTCAGTAGTGTTCAAAACAGTAGGCCTAATACACAAAAATAAAGTATTTACAGTATATAATACATTTGAAAATGCGTATAATTATGGGGGCAAATGTGTTTAACTGTCATTAAAATAATGTAAAAATATCTTAATGGCATTAAAAATGGACCAATTAGTCAAATTTATATATAGAGGCAAAGTTCAGTATATTTAAACTTCCATTATTGGTCTATTTTGCTTTTTGTTTTTTAAAATATAATATAATCAGTGAACAGTAGAGAAATATTAAGACATGTTTGAAACGTGATTTCTGCTGATATGCCGTAATGCAGCATCTTGGACAAATTATTTACGATAATGGTTAAATCAAAAGGAAATATTCTATTCTGTGCCTCAGTATAATATTGTGTCTCAGTATTTGACACTTCCTTTTCAGTGAATATATTATTGGTTTCAGCCATGTTTACCTTTCTTCACGACGCGTTCATCGCAATTCTCAAAGGTGCAGGGCCCCCAGGCGCCCCACGGGGACACTTCACACTCCACAGGGCACGGGATGTGACACAGCTGCGTGGTACTCGGAGTCGTTCCCTTGCAGAGCCGAACGTCTACGGGTTGTGATGCTACAACGCAAACACACGCATTAAAACACTGCGGCAAGACTCCCACATGAGCACCACACATGACGGACAATTAGCTTTATGTAACTGCAGGAAACAACAAATGGCAACATTAAACACGCTCTGAAGAATCCTGATTCCCTGTTGCATCACATCAAATGAAAAACTGGAGAAAACCGGAGATTTCAGCATAATTTGAATGCACATCCCCAACCCGATGTGTTTGTTTATTAAATATTTGGACTAATTTGGTAAAGTTCCCAGTTATAAATAATCTAAAATACGACATATAATGAAATAAAATGACAAAAAATTAAATAAATTAAAATAATAAGCAAAATAATTCAAAAAAATTAATTAGAAATTTATAAAAAATTATAAAATTAAAATTATAAAATTAAGGCAAAATCATGTTTCCTGTACTGGTCAATTTTGGAATTTTGGGAACTTTGGTTGTTTTTTTTCAGTAGAAAACATCCAAAATGAATTTACATGCATTAAATACTTTTTTTTTTGTTGCTTATTTTACTGCAATTTATCTGCCAATTTTATTTACCGTATTTATCTTTAAAGTTTGTTTTCTTAAAAACATTTTTTTTGTACAGAGCTTTCCAACAAACATAGTCAAAATGTATTTTATTTTTGGCTATTGACAGTATTTTCTGATATATCAAGTTAAAAAAAAACTCTTAATGCATTGTAATACAAAAAACTTTTGCAATGCTTAAATGTAATTCAATGGGAAAGTATGGTGATATGTATAAGGTGAATTGGTACCCTATTCACCTGGAATGCAATGCAATGAAATGCAATGAAATGAAACGAAATGAACAACTGTGATATCTATGAATTACTTAAAAATGATTAAACAAAACGAAACAAACAAACATGAATAAATAAAGTCCTGTCAGAGGAATAGTCCTCAGATGAGTGTAGAAAATGCCTATGAAAAAGTCTATGGATCCCGTCTGGGCCCAGCATGTGTGAAACTGAGATCTTTTTTTCCCTGGAACTATAAAATACAAATTCGGAAACACAAACAAAAGCGGTGCATTAATGTTTTAACACAGGATTTTGCTGTCGGCTTGATGGGTGACAGGTGACATGACTGCTGCGTTTGCATCAAAGCGAGGTAAACTCTTCTCGTGGAGCTCTCCATGCTTATATGTGGTGAGTTCTGCACTCTAGAGACTTCCAAAACAAAATGCTCTCCACATGCACAGATTGTCAACTAAAAAGTATGAGAAGACTAAGACACAGACCTTAAAAAAAAAATCGATTGATTGAACTCTGGAAATGGGCATGGGGAATGACAGTTCACCTCGTTCAACTCTTCTGGCGCCGCATGTTCCCCAAATTAATGGAGAGACATATTTCAGTGTAATGCACCATCATCTAAGTTAACATAACACAGCACAGGTTGTCCTTGTTTACGTGCCAGATGGTCTAGACCTTCTGTGCAAACTTTCTGTCTAATCTAAGTTTGCGGTCTGTGCCTGCTTTGACAAACCCAGGCGGACAGGCTTAGCTTCAAGCATGAGAATGATTTGGTGCTCGGTAGCTGCTTGAAAACAGATGAGAAACCTAAGGTGGCCCTGATATTTATTAATATACTCGCTTAAGAAAGTTTGAAAGAAAAGCATTTATTTGAAAATGCCTCTACCGTCATATTTGATCAGTTGTATACAGTATACTTATCGATTTGCACCATGTTATAGAGTCCATGCAATAAAAGGCAGAATGGTCTAGTTTAAAAGATCCAAATAAAATGCTTCTTTATTTCTTTTGAGGACGAGGGTACAGTAAGGAGCTGTCAGAATGACTGTCATTGTCAGTCAGTCTCTGTCAGTTGTCTGGTGCCCAGAGGAGAGTGTTGACTAAAGCACAAAGTGTTGCATCAGTATGTACTCTTGTAATGAGCTCTCCATGGACACAAACGCTTACAAAAATACAGAGAGTAAACAGACTAAGCAAACAAAATATGTAAACATGCCTTAGGCAAAGAGATTTGATCAAACAAAGACCATTATGTCAGATGCAAAAAGGAAAGAGAATAAAATAAAAACATGACAAAATTAAATGTAATAATTGAATACAATATAACATAAATATCATATAAAATACATTAAATATAATTATTAAAATACAATTAAAATGATTAAATTAAATATAAAATAAAAATAATAAAATATAATAAAGTTATAGAATTATAAATATAGTATATATTAATAATACAAATAATAAATGTAATAAAATATAATTAAATTATTAAAAATAAAATAAAATAACAGTTTCTCTTTCAAAGCAATGTTGGTGTATTTACATTGAGTTGAAAACTACTCCAAATATTCCTTTTAAGGGGTTAAACATCTTACCTGAGATCTCATAGCTGATAGACAGGAGGGGAGGGACACTAGGCATCTGGCCGTTTGAAGACTGACCTTCTACAAAGCACACAAACTACTGCTAATAAACATCATTCAAGGGAAAATACAAATACAATCACTATTAACTCTATTCTGTGACTACTTCCACAATATTACAGCTTTAAGGGGGTAACGCAGGGCATCTACTATCCTGAGCTGTGACGTCAAAAGCAGCAGGCAAGGGAAAATATAACCATTCAACCTTTAAAGAGTCCTTCAGAAAATACAATACAATGATATCCATTTAATCACAACGCACGGGCACTTTTGATATAAAATCATTTTCTGTCATTCTGATGGACTGCGTTGTAAATTTCCCGTCATGCTCTACTCTTTCTTGTCAGTAAAATATGAAAAACTCTTGGTTCTCTCCTTATATTCTTACTCGCACCTCTCGCAGTCTACTTTCACATTTTATTTTCTCAATTTAGTTCACCCAGTGCAATAGGCCAGACAACTTATTTCTATATCTGTCAAAACAACACAAAGCATTCCGAATTATCTGTCAATGTTTTTACAATTTGGTAAGTGACAGAAAAATGTTCAGTTAATGCAACCTCTGGTTATGTCATTTACCAGCAGGGCCAAACTGTTCATGATAAATAGCCAAACCCATTGGTTTGTAATGCCATAAATGAATCACATCTGTCACATTCGGTCCTCCTATAAAGCAGTCATTTTTTTCATAGTAGACTCCAAATATAGCTCTGTCCAATCGAATGTCACGGCAGTTTATTCAGCGTACATCGCCTCCATTGACTTTCATTCAGACAGTAATGTGATAATGTGAGGTATAAGCTGGTTAGCTTTTACTTGCCCCCAGATCTCAGCCAGTCAAAAGCTGCAGGATTCCTCCTACACTCTCAAAATCAAGCTTCTTCAATGGAATTTTGCAGCACTTCAGTAAAGAACTCTCTTCTCATCAAGAATCATTTTCATTTTCTGCATCATATGGAACTTAAGGATTCTCATATGGCATTACATAAAACTTAAAGATTCTCTTACAGCATCATAAGGGCTTTGAAATTATTATCTTATGGAATCTAATGGAACTTATAAAGATTCACTTACGGCATCATAAGTAATTTACAATGACTCTCCTATAGAATCAAAGAAAAGAAAAAAATAACTAAAAATTCTTAAGGCATCATTTGAAGCTTATATAGAGTGTCTTATGGAATCAAATGGAACTCAAAGATTATGGAGAAATGAAATTTACAGTAAAAAGATTCTGTTATAGAATTATTTATAATATTAAACTGATATGGAACCAAATTTAACTTATAGATTCACTAGAGGAATTATATGAAACTCACAAAGATTCTCTTGTGGATTCAAATGGAACATATGAAGATCCTCTTATGGAATCAAATGGAATGTATATTTATATAAGAATTTATATAAAGATTCTCTTATTAATTCATATGAAACTCATAGTCGCTTATGGAATCAAATGGAAATGATAAAGGTTAGCTTATGACATCATATGAAACTTATAAAGAGTCTTTTATGCAATCATATGGAACTTACAAAAATTCTCTTTTAGAATCAAATAGAAATGACAAAGATTCACTTATGGCATCATATGAAACTTATAAAGATTCTCTTATGAAATCAAATGGAAATGATAAGGATTTTCCTATGGCTTTATAGGAAACCTATAAAGATTATTTTTTTGGAACAAATGGAACATTAAGATTTTCTTACGGCATCATATTAAATGTTTAAAGGTTCCTTTATGGAATCAAATTGGAAGTTCTCCTATGTCATCAAATCCTTTTGGAAACACTTGGTTTTAAGACAGTGAAGCCACCTGTGGGAAATATCGTTCTGTTTGTGCTGTGAGTGCAGTGTTGTGTTCTTAGAAGGAAATGTAAATGAGCATCACTTCCAGATAGATTTGATGAAGGTTTCATCACATCAAAGAATCTTGAAGCTGACAACATCCTCCCAGGGTGAGAACATCACGACTCCATCAGTTGACTAACGCTCCAGCACATTTTCTCTTTAACTTTCTGCACTGTCTGCGTTCATGTATCTGCTGTCGGTGGAGCAGATTACCCCCCAGTGAAGCGAGGCGTCTCCTGCACCGCGCTGATAAGGACACAGATTTCCCAGCATACGCAGCTCCACCAGCGGCCTGTTCTAATAGCGCTTCTTTAACTGGAGCTTTTCATGCAGTCAGCGCTCATCTGCTCTAATGTACGGAGACATGTGCATTACGATAAGTTTCAATGTGCTCGCCTTACAGTTCTGAGCATCAAAAGAGCAAGCAGGAGGGAGAAAGATAAAAAAAGGGTATTTTCCATGAAGACGGGTGGGCCATTAATCGAGAGATGTTGTGTGTGTGTGTGTGTGTGGAGCATGCAAAGAAATGCTGATGCAATATATACAGTAGAGTAAGAGATTTACACACACATGCATGTGGGTGGTGGACAGAGAAAGCAAGGAAAGAGGAGAAGAATGACGGATAGATCCATGTATTCTAGGATTTACATTGTTCTGAGAGGTACAAAAAATGTTTGCAAAACAACATATACATCACAAAATGTCATTTTATTATAATAGATACTTTGCAATAAATAAATAATTGATTCAGTGTTTTTTTCTTATAATAAACTGTTTTCAATTTCAGCATCATATGGAACTCATTGACTCTTCAATGGCATTATATTAAACTGAAGGTTTCTCTTATGGAGTCCTACGAAAAGTATAAAGATTTGATTATGGCATTTTAAGGAACAAAGATTCTGTCATCGTATCAAATGGAAATAGTAAAGATTTGTTTAGTGAATCAAATGGAACTAATGAAGATTTGCTTATGGCATCATATGAAACTTATAAAGATTCTCTTATGGAATCAAATGGAACTTAAAAAGATTCTCTTATAGAATCAACTTGAGCTTATAAAGATTTACTTATGGAATTGTATGAAACTTATAAAGATTCACTTATGGCATCATATGAAACTCAAAGACTCTCTTATGGAATCATATGAATCAAAGATTCCCTCATAGCATCAAATAGAACTATAAAGGAAATACATATTAATTTTTTTCTTATGGAACCAAATGGAATTTAAAACGATTTGCTTCTGGCATCATATGAAACATAAATATTCTCTTAAGGAATCATATGAAACTTAAAACGATTTGGAGGAGTTAGTGAGTGAGTGAGTGAGTGTCAGTCAGTCAGTCAGTCAATCAGTCAATCAATCTTTATCACAGCTCAGGATAGTCACTATAGTGAAAGGTTTGGGACTGAACACATTTTTGTTGTACTATCAACTAATCATGGATATGTTCAGGTGACTCGCTCAACAACAATAAAAGTTTGTCCAGAACTGAATGTCTAAGTAAAAATGTCATACTTCTGATTACTATACACTGTCAAGCAGATACCTGTACCTTGTTTGTCTTTGTTGTTATTGATGTAGCTGAGGAGTTCTGCATTGGCTTGGACGCAGTACACTTCTCTGCCCTGAACACCTCCGCCACACAAACCCGTCTGATTCCCACGCCGCCGGTCCTGCTGGCTGAGCAGCGCGTCAACACGACACTCGCTCCATTCGGTGCTCCGCCAGGCATAACTGAAATTAACATCAAATACAGGCTATTATATTCTGAACCTGTGCTTTGGATCAACCATACTGTTGTAAAAAATCTCTCCAAACATTTACAAGCAACAATGTCATTCCATTTGGATTGTGTGTCACTGTCATGTACATTTGCACGTTACACATGATAAACCAAGAGTATCCAAACAAAACAAACAATAAAATGGATCTTGGAAGAATTTGATAATAAATGTCTGAAATCACAAGACAAATGTTTCTAGTAAAATCACAATATATGAATTTAAATGCATTTTAATTCTAATGCAAATAGCAATTCAGTAGCCTGTTTACCTACAAATTCAGGAATTTAATTGGAAAATAAAAGCATTTTGACTGGCATACAACTGGATGGATGGATTAATTTATTACATTTATATAGCGCAGGGGGTATCTCCTCATCCACCACCAGTGTGCAGCATCCAGCTGGATGATGCGACGGCAGCCATAGTGCACCAGAACACCCACCACACACCAGCTTATTGGTGGAGAGGAGACAGAGTGATGAAGCCAATCAGTAGATATGGGGATTGTTAGGAGGCCATGATGATCAGAGGCCAAATGGGCAAATTTGGCCAGGATGCCGAGGTCACTCTTTTCGAAAGACATGCTGGGATTTTTAATGACCACAGAGAGTTAGGACCTCAGTTTAACGTCTCATCCGAAGGATGGTGCTTGTTGACAGTATAGTGTCCCCATCACTATACTGGGGCGCTAGGACCCACACAGGCTGCAGGGTGAGAAACCCCTGCTGGCCTCACTAGCACCTCTTCCAGCAGAAACCTAGTTTTCCCAGGAGGTCTCCCATCCAGGTACTGACCAGACTCAACCCTGCTTAGCTTCAGTGGGTAACCAGTCTTGGGCTACAGGGTGATATGGCTGCCGGCAAATGGATGGATGGATGGATGGGTAGATAAGTAGGTGGGTAGGTACGCTGTTGGATAGATGGTTGAATACTGTAAGTGAATTGGTGAATGGATAGAAAGGTAGATAAGTAATAGGATGGATGGATGGATGGATGGATGAATAGATGAATTGATGAATTAATAGGATGGTAGATAAGTAGGTGGATAGGTAGGCTGGTGGATGGATGGATGGATGTAAAATAGGTAGGTGCATGGGTGGATGGATAGATCTCTTAAACCTTAAGACACATTTGAATACTGGGGTCTTTTATAGTCTGAAAAGACTTCAGAATCTCCATTCAACCTCCATTTAATCTTATATCTGTCTTGGAAAAAAATAGCGATATTAAAGAGATGTCATTTTTTATTTATCTTTCCTACTTTCGCTATAGTGCGAAACAGAATTGCAAAAATCCATTATCTTCTCGAGCTGCCTGTTCATAGTACGTGGGAGACTCAGAAAGCATTGTGTGGCCTGTGACGGCGTGCCAGTGCGGGCCATCTGTGAGAGAATGAGATTAGAGCAGCGTCACCGAGCTCTTAAGATCACTTCCATTTGTCAGTGCATCTCTCTTGGCTCAGGAGCACAGAGCAGCCCGATCCGTCTCACCCCATCTCCATATGCCCATGTGCTGACCCCGACTGGCACCACCGCTCACGCAGAGCAGGGGTCAAGCGGCTCCCGGCAGGGCCTCCCGCTCCACGCCGGCAATTCTCCATGAAGAGCAGAAAGCACTACAGTTCGTCATGCTGAGATGTGACTTCTGGGTTTTTTTTAGAGCTTGTTTCATGTACATGCCCGCAGGATTGGAAAATCCCAAATGAGATCTTGTTAATATCTCAATTGCTTCTCCTTGACAACAGAAGATTAAATCAATCGCGAATTAGCTTAGAGTGTTACACAGTTCTCCTGCAGCATGTGTCTCTTCTAGAGATTCAGAGGAGATCTCGACAATGTCTCCAACTCTGCTCAGATTTGCCAAGATAACAATAAGAGATTTCAATATGAATTAAAATGCTATCAGACCAAAAATGGTCTGAGCTTCTATTCACATTCATTTTCAACCTATGCTGGAAAAATGTAGCAATTCTGCAGCAGTATTTTTTTAGCATCACTTAAACTATAGTTTTTCATTTCAGTAATTTTGTTGTATTTTTTGTCATTTTGCTTACATATTTTTTTTATTATTATTTTTATTAATGTTTTAGTTGTTCTTCAAGTGAAAATAAATTAAAGAAAAAAAAGAAAAAAAAAGAAATGTTGCCTTGGCAATTTTAATTTAATTTAATTTAATTTAATTTAATTTAATTTAATTTAATTTAATTTAATTTAATTTAATTTAATTTTTTATTAATGTTTTAGTTGTTCTTCAAGTGAAAATAAATTAAAGAAAAAAAAGAAAAAAAAGAAATGTTGCCTTGGCAAGTTTAATTTAATTTAATTTAATTTAATTTAATTTAATTTAATTTAATTTAATTTAATTTAATTTAATTTAATTTAATTTAATTTAATTTAATTTAATTTAATTTAATTTAATTTAATTTAATTTAATTTAATTTAATTTAATTTAATTTAATTTAATAATTTTTATTAGTTATCATTTTAGTTAACATTTATTTTATTTAAGTTAATGTTAACATAAAATGATGGTTTTATTTTTAGTCAACTATAATAATCTACAGAATGATATGTTGCTTTTTGCTCTGAATGGCCCAAGAAAGTATGTTCAGTTTTACCTGAAACAGATTAATTTGAATCTGGCAATGTGTATTATGTTGGTTGTTGCACATAATTCAACAGTTCAGAAATTAAATGTTTGTTGCGCTAAATGTTTAATACGCTATAAATTGAAAATAATGTACACATGACAACATATCAGAGATTTAAAAAAATTTATTTGCTGAAGCAACCGTGCCATTTTATCTTGTTTCTACACATCTTTGAGCTCTTTTATCATGGCTCATGTTCAACAGACTTGTACCACATTGCTAGTGCAATGCTGTATTTGTTTAAAATCATGCATAAATCATGCACTATGGTAAAGTGTTTTGAGGTCATAACATAGTTTTGTGCAAGGAACCAAGCAAAAGTAAGTCTTTATTAATTGGTAATCTGCCCCTTTAATTTAATTTAATTTAATTTAATTTAATTTAATTTAATAATTTTTATTAGTTATCATTTTAGTTAACATTTATTTTATTTAAGTTAATGTTAACATAAAATGATGGTTTTATTTTTAGTCAACTATAATAATCTACAGAATGATATGTTGCTTTTTGCTCTGAATGGCCCAAGAAAGTATGTTCAGATTAATTTGAATCTGGCAATGTGTATTATGTTGGTTGTTGCACATAATTCAACAGTTCAGAAATTAAATGTTTGTTGCGCTAAATGTTTAATACGCTATAAATTGAAAATAATGTACACATGACAACATATCAAGAGATTTAAAAAAATGTTTAATTCACACGATATTTTAAAGTAGATTTTTGCAATTTATTTTTTTGTAAACAAATAATTACAAAATTCGATAAAATTAAATAAATATGACCAATACTTATTTTTATTTTCATCATATTTATTTATTAGAACATTGTGTCTGGGCAAACATCCATTTTATTAAAACAAAACAAAAACAAAAACAAAACAAAACAAAACAAAACAAAACAAAACAAAACAAACCAAAACAACAAACTAACAAATAAAAAGCTGTGAACCCCTGATTCTATCACATTACAGTATCACCGCAGTATTTTGTCTTTTAATACTTTAATCACATGCTTTTGGTAACAAACTCAAATCGCAGCTGAACTGCTTTTGTAATTGTTTCAGTGGCCGGTAAGCCACAGTGAGCAGTGTGAATGCAGCAATTTCTCTTAGTCTCTTATTTTCTCTTTAGGCAATGCAGCTGACGAGCTATTACAGCTAATTATATTTGCTGAAGCAACCGTGCCATTTTATCTTGTTTCTACACATCTTTGAGCTCTTTTATCATGGCTCATGTTCAACAGACTTGTACCACATTGCTAGTGCAATGCTGTATTTGTTTAAAATCATGCATAAATCATGCACTATGGTAAAGTGTTTTGAGGTCATAACATAGTTTTGTGCAAGGAACCAAGCAAAAGTAAGTCTTTATTAATTGGTAATCTGCCCCATAATCATAATTTGTGTGAAAAGGAACAAAAGTTGTTGGTGTTTTACTGTCTCTCGAGTTCATTTCAGCTGGAAACTGCAGTGAACTGTATGTAGAGGTATGTTTTGGGAGTTCTGAAAAATGTACGTAGAGGCACGATTTTCCAGTGTGCCTAAGTTGTTCATTTTATTGCTCTGTACTTTTACTGTATGCCAACAATTGTTTCATTTGTTTCTACTCTGATTTTACTAAAGAAGAATCTTCTGAAACTGTTGAAACTTCAATGACAGGCTTACTAGGAACCACATTATATCATTTGAGTTACGAAAGAGCAACTTCTGAGCAACAATGTTTCCTCTGGGTTGACGCATAATGAGATATGACAAGATGACATCAATTTGTTGGAGTACCTCTCATAATATCATCACTCCAATGATGCGATGCATTTTCACACACAAAACCTTGAAAATGGAAACCTTTGATCCCAAACAGAGATACGACTGGCTGTCATGTCTAAATAAGAAAGTGTTATATCTGCAACTCAAAAGCACTCACTCAAACTGACTGTATGAAATCATGCATACAGATATCATAGAGCACAACAAAAGGGATTTTTTTTAATAGTCTGACCCTTTCGAGCATTTCTGTGATACTTACGCAGCGCAGGGCGGCACCCCGTCCCCTTCAGGTTCACAGGCCTGGCTCTCCTCCAGCTGGGGACACTCGGACCCTCCTCCGGTAGGAAGCCGTATCAGCTGTCTGCTGCGGGAGAGTGAGCCCTGAGGAACACTGGGGTCCGAGCAGGTCTTTGAGCAGGAGCCCCACGAGCTCCATTCACTGACCACACAGTCTTTGGGCATCAGGCAGGACTGGTACGTCTCTGGCTAACTGTATTTGGCAGAAATAGAGAGCATGCAGTCTGTCGCTGGAATAGCGATTGTGCGTGCTATAAAATAAATGGGGCAATTATCAAGATTGTGACAAGGGCTGGGCAAAATTTAATTAATTAATTAACCAACCCAAGGAAAAAAGATAAAAAGAAGTTACAAAATGGTCACCTGAAAAGTACAAATTAGTACCATTTGAAAGGATATTGAGCCATTGACAGTTTTGTATTTTTTCCCCTCAGAGTATTCATTTATATTCACCAGTGTAACTAGGCATGCCTGAAATCGATGGCAATATTTTTCAAAATATATTTATATACAATATTTAAAAAATATATTTAATATATATTTTTAAAAATTATTTAAAATAAAATGTTAAAATAGATTTTAGAATAAATTTATATTGTAACATTTTTATTGTAATATAATAAAAACAGAGATTTCTGATCTGAGAATTTTTTAATGGATTTTTGAAATGGAATTTATTAATTATTTATTTATGAAAATTTATTATGGTGATATTAATAAAACATAACAGTGATGTTTATTAATAAATTAAATTAATAAATATTAATTATATAAATAAATATTAATATTAACATTTCAGGGGTCCTATTATGCTCTTTTACAAAGTCTTGATTTTGTTTTGGGGGTGTCCTAGAACAGGCTCTCATACTAGGTTGTTCGAAAAACACGTTATTTTTCACATATTTTACATTATTACAACACCTCTCTCACCAGTCTGGCATGAACGGCTCGAATAGTTCCTGTATCAAATGAAGGCCGCCTTCTGAAATACTAAATGTGCTGTGATTGGTTAGCTGGGTCAGTGTGTTTTGTGATTGGCCCCTTACCATAGCCGCCTGCGAGCTTCAGTGTAAATATTGCGTCAATATCAAATCAATCTGAGTGCAATTTAAGTTGGTCTGCCTTGGGAAAGCTAGCATGTCTCTGACACAGTGATAACACTCGTTGCCTTCTCTAGTGCAGCTCAACCAG